TAGCAGGAAAAGCACAGAACCCACAACAGCCTGGGGAAGTGGGAAAGGTTCCCATGGCAGCAAGAGAGAGAGCACATCCAGTGAAATACAATATTTAATTCTTCCCTTTGAACACTGAGATCCTCTTCTGTGTCAAGCCTTAAAATACTTCCAAACCCAGAGCAGCTAGATAGCAAAAAACTTAAGGAATAACACACTTTATCTATGCTGCTCTCATAGTGGGACACTGGATGGATCCCTTTGTGATCTTCCCCAAAATCCCAGCAGCAGTGGAGGTCTGTAACAGCCCAGGGGAAGGTGTCTGGCTTTCCTCACCACCAAGTGTATGGTGCACTCCAGCACTCAGACCGAGCTGATAGCACACTGTTACCAATCTGAGACACCTGCAGCTGGAAAATGCCATCCAAAAAGGAGCTGAAAACATGTAGCAAGAATCTAACATGCTTCAAAGAACCTGCTGTCAGCTAAAAAGACACTTCTCCTCCTGAGGTGTTTCTGTGTTTCCCATCAGGTCCCTTTTTTCCCCTTCATGTGATGCCTCACTGAAGACTTTTCCACAAAAGCTCACATGGGGTTTCCCTTTCAGATGTGAGGCCTTTGCCAAATGTGAGGATCTCAAAGAAGTACCTGGGAAATGGTGGTGGTGGGGAGGTTATAACACCAATATCATGGTCTTGATGACCTTAGAAATTAACAAATTGAGAAAGCAGCAGGTACAGAGGGAAAACCTCCAAAAATAAAAAAGGCTAGACCTCAGCACACAGCTGCACCAGCCTTCATGAAGCTTTTGCAGGAGCCAGTTTGTATCTACAAGGCCGTAACAAGTATATCCAAAACAGGCAATCCACACTCCTCTAAAATCAGCTGCAGCTTTTGGATCAGACACATGTGAAATTCCCTCCCCAGTCTGGAACATGTATTTGCTAACCAGATCAACCAATTCCTACCCTGGAATTCACACAAACTCTCCACTTTCTCACAGGGAATGCCATCCTTTCCAAGCCTTTATGCTCCTGTTAAGCAAAGCCCAAGGAAGACAGGTGATTCAGTAAGCTGTACAGAAGCACAAAGATGTGTGAAAGTGCAGAAGTTGCACATTATTAACAATGAAGGAAAAGCCATGAGAAGAACATGAAAAAATGCTGAACTCCAGCAGAAAAATAACTGCAGTAACAATACTCAAGCCACCAAGGCAACAAGTGGGAGAGATTTACAGATTAAGGAGGATAGGGAAGGAAGATCTTCCTGAGAATTATGGCTATGCAGCAACACAATAGCCAGCAAATCAAGTTACTAAACCTGCAGATTATTCTGCACGTTATCAGTCATGCCACAATGCAGAAATGACCTCATTAACATTGTTCCACTCCAAACAATTCTGTGCAGTGCTTGGAAACAAAAGCCCAGGCAAACCTGGCAAAAGAGAACAATCCTGATTCTCTTGTAAAAGGCTGTGTGGACATAAACCACCATAAACCTCAGCAGCTGTTTTATGGACAGGAGGCTCAATAGAAACATGTCTTATTTCAGGGCAGGTGAAACAGCTTAGTCCTCTCCAGAACTCCTGATGTGCATCAGCCTCCAGCCACGCTCACAGCGGCACCTGCACCTATTACCCATCCTCAGACACCACAGGGAGTTCTCAATGCATTTCAACAAAACCCAAAAATGCTGAACTTAATCATGGCTAGCACAAATAGTACACCATGACACCACCTAGAGTCATGGAGCTAAGCTTTTCAAAATGTATCTTAAAGCCCAGCTCCTCTGAGAGGAAGAGGTGGCACTTGGACACCTTTTGAAAGACGCTGCTCACAGCTCTGGCACAGTGAGACATGGAGAAGCAGTTGGTGCTGGTGCCCAGGGAGGATCAAGAGTGCTGCCAGAACTTCCACACGTTAGAACAAACGTGGGATTTCCAGCAAGTACGGAGGGAGTGTGTGTTCAGACACTAGAAAGTGACCTGAAAAGAGAGAGAACTGGGTTCATGCCATTTTATCTGGCTTAGGGGAGAAAATGGTCAATAGTTTTTTGGGGAGGAAGCAAATCTGGCTGGTTTACACAACAGCCATTCAAGCCCTGTCTAGCCCAGAAGATAACGAGATGGGGATGTGCCAGGAGCCAGAAGCAGCAGGGCTGGAACATTTTTAGTACAACTTTCATTAACATCAATTTAACTTCAACAATAAAAACCAGTGCCTTGGGTGAAGACAGGCACGGTTAACTGTCTTTGTTCTCCTTCCTTCAGTATTCCAAGAGGCAGGAAGATTACCATCACTGACACTCAGGTATGAAACAGGTTTCCTCTCTTTTTAGGCTACTTGCAGACAGTCTTGATACACCTGAAAAAGCCCAAAACCAATGCACAAATCCAAGTTTTCTGTACTTTTTACTCCTTCAAATGTCCACTTAACAAAAGCAATGGATCTCTGTTGTTTCTTTATTCCCAAACACCTGAAACCTGCCTAGTTTAACTCAGGAAAGAAATTACTGAAGAACCAAGTCTGTCCAACAAACTGAAAAAGAAATAAATGTGCAAATCCTTGGACTATTCAACCCTGTTCCTCACGAAGACTGAGGATTACAGGCTTGATAAAGAACTTGTATTGCCTTATCTCAACTTTAAATTAATTTCGTTAAGCTGAACTCAAGTGAAAGTAGCTTATTTTAAGAAAAAAAGCCATCTATTCCAGCACACTCTGCTGCAAGGGCTGTGCCTTTTGTAGAAGGAATTTAGGTCTCCTAAGTGCAAGTAAATGAATGCAAGAGAATAAAAAAATTATATCGGAAACCACAGAACTTGGTGCTTGAACCTCCTCATTTTCCATTCAGACCACTCTACATAATTCATCAAAAAATGCATCACATCATTCCAGTTTGGGAACAGAACCCAATTCAGCTGGGTTTCACTTTTCTATTCTCTCACACAACAATTGCCTAATTTTCCTTTCCAATTCTGTCTCCCAGGACAGGCTGGAACAAATGTATCTCACATTCTCCCGTTGCAAAGGATTATCCAGATTTCAAGCCCACATTCCAGCAGGATTGGTATTTTTCTCTCACACCTTCATCTTGGTAAGACTGGAAGTTTTCTTCCCTGAATGGAGACCACATGGGACAGGACTGCAGCTCAGCATCATGCCTGGATGGCTCCAGAACGCACTTTCCAAAAGCTACAAACAGCATCAGAGCCCATAGTCACAACTGAATATCTTAGAGAGTTCTTCCCACTGAAAATGGGGATTTTTGCATCTGATGGTACCTGATTCCCTTCTAGGTTCTTCAAAACGAAGAAATTCAACACAGAATTCGGGCTCTGACTTGCAGCCACTGAAGCAAGCAGCTGTGCAGGCACAAGATGTGCCTTGCCAAATACCACTGCCCTGTTTTCCTGCTAGGAATAGTACAGAGAGTACTCCAACTGTGCAATTCCCATCCCAGTCTATCGCTGAGCCTCACGCTACAGCAGGAAAGGGTTTTCCTTGGTTCCAGGAGGAACTGTGCTGCTGTCAGACAGGCACTTGGGTTTCTCCATGCCTTTGGCCAAGGTGATGGCTGGCAGCCCCATGGCTCTGGGACAATCCGGCTCTCCAGAGGGCATAAAGCTTTGATGGCACATGTCCCACCACCCAGCAGTGAGAGATTCCCACCTTCCCCATCCTGCTGCCCATGAGAAGGCAGAGATCAGCACAAGGAGTAGGTTGCTCTTCCTGCCAACTTTCCCTTCAACTGAATCCAGCATCAGTTCAGATAGAGAAGAATGCCATATTGTCCTTCAGTTAATTTGATGGATACGGATACCATAAGACTCCAGGACAGTTGGCTTGCTCAAATGTCTGGTGTAATTACTGTGATGGTAATTTTTCTCCCTGCTGCAGCCTGGGCTCCAAAGTATTTCCCTGTAGGAGTGTCTCTGAAGGTATTAGAGGAAGTAGCTTAGACAGTGATATTCAAGGACATCAGCTCTGCTGTTGCTCACACCAGACTACAGGGACTGGAGGAGAAGGTGGGCGATAACAGATGCCATCCTCTGGACAGGGGTTTTCCTCCCACAAAATCTTATTCCAGTAAGAGAAACCTTAATATGTGATCACAAGAAAACCCAGCACAGAGAGCTCAGTCCTGACCTTCAGCAGCACATGCTGAGACATGGGCAGGTACAAGACAGGGAGCCCCAAGGCCATGACCAAGATCACCCCCTTGAAGGGCAGCAGCAGCTCCTCATCTGGCTCCTGAGGGATTTGACATGCAAAATAGGGTTCCAATGTACCAAATATTTGATACCCAAGGGTAGAAGTGCTTACACTCAGCCTTTTCCAAGCTATTGGCTCCTCTTCCTCAGGTTTAAATGGAGCAGTATCTGAAGAGCAAGCAAACTTTGAACAAACCTGGTTCAGTTCTTGAGCCATGGCTGAACACACCCACCTCAGACAACACCAAATTCGCTTTACTGAGCAACAAGCAGGCTCCAAGCAGGGACCACACAGGCCTCAGCCCACGGCACAGAACACAGCAGCTGACACTGCCCAATTCCAGCCCGATTTTAACTGCACGATGGGCGTTTCTCTCTCACCAGAATGCAACATTCCAGTTCAATGAAAACCAGGCAGCCAGCCCCAGAAAGAAGCTGTGGCTGCTGCAAACAATACCATTAACCAGTTACACAACAGAGCTAAGAAAACAAAGCAGCCATTTCCTCACTCCCTCTCCACCTTCCTTCACCCTCCAGCTCCGCAGCCAGGAGCCCCAGGTCTGCTCCTCACCCCCCTCATGGCATCTGCTGCTTTTGTTTCCTTGCCACCATGACAACCTTTGTTTTAATTCCTCCCAAACTGATCAAATGCTGAAGTTTCAGGCAAAGTTGGGCTAACTAGAATGAAGACATTTACATAATAAAATCTCCAACAGCTGTTCTGCCAGTCTGGATCTGGAATGCTGCCCGGCGGAAATGAACAACTTCTCCGGAGGCCAACCCCAGGGACTTAAAGGCAGATGTAAATGATCCCAGCCAAACTGAGCAACGAGTGGTGGTAACATGTTCCACACATGGAGTGAGGCACAGATTTGCTTAGAGAAGCCACTGGTGCCAGACAGGAGCCCAAAGACTTAAATCTTGAGCTTGCTTTGGGTCTCCAGTTAACCCTTTCTTCCGAGACCTGCTGTTCACAGAGAAGGGCTGGTGGGAGATGTGGTGGTTGGAGGATGTTTGGGGCACAGCAACCATGAAATTATAGAGTTTTCAATACTCAGGGATGCAAGAAGGGCCATCAATAAAATTCCTTCCCTGGTCTTCTGAAGAGCAGACTGTGGCCTGCTCAAAAGTTTGGTTCAAAGTGTACCCTGGGAAACAGCCCTGGGAAAACAAGGGTCATATGGACATACTTCAAGAAGGAAGTATTGAAGGTGCAGGAGCAGCTGTCCCGGTGTGCCAGAAGAGGAGGCTCAGGGGAGACCTCATCACCCTCT